CGCCGTCGTGCTGACGGAACTCATTCCCGACACTTTGCTGGATCGGAGTCCGGGGATCGTCATCGAGCTGAACGTGTGCTGAACTCGGAGGTGTCGTACGTTCGGTACTTGGATCGGTCGGATCGTGAAGACGTACGACTACATCAACTGCGTTGTTATAACGCTTCCGCTTACGGTCTACGAGGGTACGTGGACAATACTCTCCCCTCTCGTTGCTATGCCATCACCATGATCTTGCGTGTACGTAGGAATTTTTTTGAAATTACTACGTTTCCCAATAGATCAAGCATGTGCATGAGTGCATTAGGCTAAACTAGTAATGGTGCAACAGGGTAGATGCAGATGCAGCTCCGCCCTTGCTTCGCCGGAGGGTGCATCGGTTACCGGTCATCTTTGTTTCGTTGATCTACCGGTGTCGAGATTTGTTTCTCTTTCTTTTTCTCTCGTTTTTATTTTGGGCTTGTTTGTGCTGCAAGCCTCAGTGAGCTGGTTGTATCGGATGGCTACTTTATAATATAAACTGGGAGAAACTCTCTACCGTCAAGCGACTAAATCCATATTATGTAATAGTTTGCCAGCCAATTGCATATTGCAATGAAGTTTCTGGTTGTAACATCTTGGAACATTTGTATAAAAGGAAAAAAAATCCTTCATGTGTTGTTTTTAATTAATGGATAATAATAATGCACATGCTTTCATGAGAAAAATGATTTTAAGAATTAAAAAATGCATTCCAGTGTTATTATCATTTGTAATGCAGTTTAGAATAAAGAGTTCAATATGTACCACCTTTATTTTGTGCATCAGGTGTATAGGGTCGAATTACATTTTTTATCAAAGTACATTGCAAGCGTCTTATTCCAAATTTTTTTCTTATTGCCTATTTTTCAATCTATGTAAAATTTAACATGAAACCAATACAAATTTTTAAAAGCCCGTGGCAACGCACGGGTAGTCTACTAGTTGCCATAGAGAAAGAGCAACCAAGTAATGGGAATTTGGAATCTGATCAAGAAGAAGAAAATGTTGACCCCAACATCGCTGATGACATTGTAAGTGGCTCTAAGAATGTAGGTAATTCATCGAATGCACATGCATCGTCCGCTAGTGTGTTTGATGAACTACCACTTTATATGGTTGATATTTATGATCTCTTAATAATAAAGCAAGAGACGTCTTAGTTGACAAAGGGCCTATAAAAGAGGATAATTTGTTTTCAATACCATATAGACATGTAGGAAGGCACTGTTCATATGCTTATTATAATAGGAAATTAAGCAATGGAGAGGAACATTTTATAAAATTGATATTTATTAAAAAATGTGAACAAAGTTTTTTTGCTTCTGCTTAAGACCTCCTTTGGTTAAGAGGAATCTTGTAGGAATTTCATAGGATAGGATTTTTATAGGGAAAAATCCATTAGAGCCCTTTGGTTTGTAGGAATGGAATCCTATTCCTATGGAGGAATTCTTCCTATCCTCCACATTTCATAGGAAAATAAACATTTAAACTCAATGGAAAAAATCATATTATGTGAATCAAAGGGCATCTCCATCCCTATTTCTACTCATAGCATTTGAGATACATGTCATCTCATTTCCTATGACTTTTCTATTTCTATGATTTTCCTACCCTATGAACCAAAGAAGGCCTAAAGATCTTCAAGTCTAGCATTAGACCGAACCGAAGTTCCTTAGCGTATGATGGATTAGGACATTGGAGGCATATTAGTGAGAAGCTGAAAGAACAAGAAACTAGCGGCGACCATATTAATAACATACTGATCTTTGATGCATTTTAGTGTTATTGGTAATCTTTCATATATACGTATATTTATTTTACGATGTCTATATCAAGGGCTCCGCGTTTTAGTCTCGTCCTGGGCCACCAAAATCTGAGGAGCGACCCTGGGTGTGGACAAAAAATTGGGCTTTCATGATAAACAAATATTTGCCTGCACGAGAGCACAATTTTCTGCTTCTTGGGAAAGAATTGTGCTCACGTATTTGCTCAATGCTTCTTGGGGGAAAAAATGGGAAGCACTTTCTATCTATAGTCTGATAAACGTCCACCACCAGACCAGTCCAACACCGTTGATTCAACTGAAATCTAACGCCTCAGACATTGTGCTTCTTTTGTAAAAAAAAAAAAACATCGGTAGGAACTAACTGCCCGTAGCCCACGGACGTAAACCTCCCCCTAATATCGCCCCTAAACTCTCCCGATTCCAATTGCAGCCACACCGACCCGATCTCCTCCTCCTCGCCCAGATGGCCAGATCCACTTCTCCCCGAGCATCATGGCCACCCCACCGGCCAACTTGCCGCTGTCCATCTACACGACGCTCGTGCTGGTGGCCACTGGAGCACACAGCAAAACCCTGGAAGAGCCCATGGCCCTCCTTGGCGCCTCGTCCCCCATCGAGGTCACGGGGTTCGTGAGCGGCCCCGCCCCCGCCCCATCCTGCTTACCCGCACACTGACGCAGTCCTACTTGGCGGAGATACGTACAGGTACAGTCGACTTTGCTGAGGTTTGCACTTTCATCTTTCTTTGTTGTTCCCGGTGCTTGGTCTGACGTTGTAATGAATTCGTGCATGCAGATGGTGCTTCTAATATACAATACAACTGTTTTTCATCACATGATAATTTGCTTCCACAGTTTTTCTTTTGAAACGGAGCTTAAATTGGACATAGCAGGCAAGTAATACTCATGTTCGTCCATCCTCGTCCGTTGATGCTGTTGTGGCTACAACATACACTTTGCCTCCCTCATCGCCGACCGCTGCTGCGTCGTGGCCACCGCCATGATCCTATTCGGCGCCCAACGACATGTCCATGCTCGACCGAGAGCGCGTTTCTGCACGCCCCATCGACGATCATGTACACTCGCTATCACACTATCTTACTTGTGTCGTCCCTTCCCTGTTGCTCTAGCGCATTCTATTTGTCGTAGTTGTTTTCGTGCAAGGGAAAACAGTTCATCGGCATGAGAATATGTTTCTACTCCATGCAAAAAAGTGTTTCCATCACGTGAGCAATTGCTTCCTAACTTTGCTCTATAATGCTTCTTTAGTTCTTTGCTAGTACATACTCCTATAATGCTTCAATAGTAATGCTAAGATATTTTGGCTATCACTACAATGTGCTCCTTATTTTCTTCCAGTGCAAATTCTAACATCTTTGGAAGCAATGTTTGATGCATATACTCCTCCTATGTAGGAAGCAAAGTTTGTTGCACAATGTCATAAGCAATAAAGGAGTGGTGACCTTCGCTTCACCAAGGGGTTCTCTACGGCCATCGAGGGCCAGCGTGTAGATGGAGACGACAACAAGGAGGTGGCTGCTAGTGAACTTTTCCCTTAAATTCATGAAATTTTCTCTCAAATACGCGGACTTGGCACCTCTTGTCGTCCAGAACGTGAATCCACGACGCCTTGCTTCCTGATCGGTCCAGGAAGCTTTGATGGACAACCGATGGGTGGCTGACATTGCTGGCAGCCTGTCCACCTTAGGTCCGGTCCAATATGTTCATCTTTGGGACGCCGTCATGCCCGAGAACCTAATCCCCGATGAGCCAGGTCAGCCTCTCTGGCCTTGGAATGCAGAGGGTTCCTACTCTGCTTTCTCCACCTATCGCATGTTGTGGGAGGGTGTCGTCTGCTCACCCTGTGCTAAGCATCTCTCGAACAGCTGGGCTGCTCTGAGTTGCTAAATTTTCATCTGGCCAGCTCTCAAATATCGCATTTGGACATCGGATCGGCTAGCAAGACGGGCCTGCAGGACGTGGTGGACGTCTGCTACTTCTGTGACCAAGCTGAAAATACAACCGACCACATCTTGATGGGATATGCTTGTCAGGTTTGGCACTGCTGCCTTACTCTGGATATTACACTGGAGAATTGGTGGCTGCCTTTGCGCGATAGAGAACCAATCAATAGGAGGAAGAGATTTGACTCTCTTGTCATGCTGATCTGCTGGAGTCTCTGGAAGCAATGCAATGCACGCGTCTTTGGCAACAGGACATTACAGAAGAACGTATCCTCGCTCCCTGTGTTGATCATTTAGGAGCTGAAGTTGTGGAAACTTGCTGGTTGTAAAGGAGTTGACGACATGCGTGAGTAGTTCTTCTGGCTAGTGTAGGAGTGGAGTTTCTGTGATAGTACCATCGACAACGTCTTGTATATTACCCTTGTTTTGTTCTATAAAAATATAGTACGCCTTTAGCGTACTCTCGAGAAAAAAATATTTTTTGTGCCTGTATTTATTGATGAGTCATGTCATGGTGCTCTATATATACGGTAACGTAGTGAAAGTACATGTCGGACAAAAAAAGCATAGTGACGATCTTATCAACAAGTTGTTTTCTGGGATTTGTGCTGCATCGCTGGCTCGTGGAAACAAAATACAACAACCACGGAGGAGGTAACGAGCCGTCGGCCACGTCCAGCTACTTGCATCGGCGGTGGCAATATTACCTTCTTTGACAACCTCTTCCTTTGAGCCTTTGCGAGCTGCATCGTTCGCTTGATCTGGCCATAATAGGGTAGCTGGTTGTCTAGATCAGGGTGACCTTCCATCGACTTGATTCGCGCATCGTACATGGCAATCCAACAAGATTTGTTGACGTGAGCTATGGTGATACAACGACGACTTGCATTTCTCGATGTTGTCCATTATTGACGCGAGCTATGGTGATACAACGACGACATGTTCAATTATGGTTGTGGCAAGAATTTGAAAGTATATAGTTGTAGTCATAGTCTTCCGTTTGTTTAGGGTGGTTTTTGTGTTTCTAGGTTCTTATCTGATTGTATTTTCATATGTTGGAATAAAATAAGAAAAATACAAATATGACTGAAAAACTTGTACCAACATTTGAATTTCGTTGCGAGTGCACAACTGAGGATGATCCTTGTCGTGTTCAGAGACATCACATGCATGGGCCGGCATCATATCATGAGTACATATGTACGCACCTCCTTTCTTAAATGAAATGAATTAAAGACGATTTTCCAAGAGGAGCAGGCAGTAACCGTTCCTCATGTCCTTGGGAAGCGCCAAAAGTAACTTGAACTTGAACTGGCTCACATCACACGCAAGAACGCTATATGTTCTCAGCATGTCATCACTCGCCAAGTCACCTATCTCCCGAAGCGCCGCCAATATCTCCCCAGGAGAAGCCATGACCGCCTTGTTATCCGATGAGTTGAGTCTATTAATAATTGTTGCCGCCGCCGTCGTGGGTGCTTGCTCATGGCGCTTTGCCGGAGGACGGCTGCTGCGAGAGGAGGCATCGAGGTACTGTGAGATCATGCTGGGAATGAACTCAGGGGGAGAGCTGAAATCGTCGTCATCGTCGTAACAGACGACGGACCGCAGCTCCATGCGCTTCGTGTCCACCTCGATCATCCGTATCGCATGGTCGCCGTCAACGTCCTCCATATGGTGTCCGATCTTGTGCACCATGAAGCAGAGGACATCGGGGTCGTCCAGGCTGACAATGGGGTACTCCGGCCTGATGCGTGGCACTCCGCCGTAGCCGGGGAGCGACCAGAGCTCGTCCGAGACAACCATGCTGACCTTGTCCCACGTCGCCATATCGTCGTCCATCCTCAGCGTCCACGTGGTTATGTTGAAGGCGTAGCGGGAGCGCGAGCAGAAGGTCACTCCCGGGGAGCCGCAGCAGCAGCGGGGACATACTTCCACGAAACTCGCTGCCCTGCCGCCATCTGTGGCGCACACTCCGCGGTAGCTCGAGCCGCTGGCGTGGTGGCGCGGCCGGCGTTCCATACGTGGCTCCACAGGGAGAGACACGTATCGCAGCTGGGGCGACTCCTCCCACGCGTCCAAGAAGATGACGCCGCGGTAGTAGTCCACCCAGTACAAGAACCGGTCACCGACGGGGATGACAGCGTCGGTCTCCCAGAAGGACACCTCCTTCCGCTTACCGTCGCCGTGGAGGACTGGAAGACGCTTAAGCTCCCACTCCCACGCGCCGGATCTGAGCAGGCAGAGCTCAGCCTCGAGCGGCGCCTCTCCTTTCGTGCCATAGAGAGTCAGCTGCGCCACCACGAGGTCCTCGTCACCGCCGCGCAGGAGGGCAGTGGTTTCCGCAGGCATGAATCGCTTCGGCCTAGGTTTTCCCTCGTATTGAGTCTGACGGGTGAGGTGGCAAGGGGGCAGCAGCGACAGGGACGGCGGCGGCGTCGCCGGCATTGTAGACGAAGTAGTCTGACGACACTAGTGCAGAATCGGCTTTTAGTACCGGTTCGTAACGGGCTTTAGTGCCGGTTCGCCAACCGGCACTAAAGAATGGGGACTATAGGTCCCCGGCCTTTAGTACCGGTTCGTCACGAACCGGCGCTAAAGTGCCACCACGTGGCACGAGCTAGGCCCGTTTGCGTGGAGGGCATTAGTACCGGTTGGTAACACCAACTGGTACTAAATGTTTGGATGTTTTTTTTTAATTTTTGCTTTAATTTTGTGTTTTCAATTTGGCTTTATTTTTCATTTAATTCTTTTTTGTTTTCTGGTATTTCACGATACTACAAATTGTACACGTTATGCATATATATTAAATAGATTTTCTCGTACGTAGAACCGCATATATATATATATATATATAATATCATCAAATGTCTCACAGCCAACACCATTAACTATTCACACATATACACATGTATATACATATACAATTTCTACTACATGTTGCCTTGGTGCCTTCGGAGCACGATGACAAGTGGTTCATGGGGGCGGTAGCGGATAATAGTATTCTCCTTTCGGATCTATGACCTGGTCGAGCAAAAATTCGGCTATTTCCTCTTGAAGTGCTTGTATGCAGTCCGATGGTAGGAGCTTATCCCGCACCGATCTGAACTATTAAGAAGGAGATCAATATGCATGTGTGTTAGTTGTGTGACTGGATATCGATAATGGTGTGAATAGTGTTTTGACAAAAACGTACCCAGTCCTGTCTATCAGATCTGCTCCTTTCCACTAGTAGAAAAAGGGCCTATTGTCCCGGTTGGTGAGGGCCTTTAGTCCCGGTTCATGAACCGGGACTAAAGGGTCGGTACTAATGCCCTGACCCCTTTAGTCCCAGTTCAATCCAGAACCGGGACAGAAGGGCCTCCACGTGGCCTGTCCCCTGAGCCCAGGCAGGAGCGCCTTTGGTCCCGGTTGGTGGCACCAACCGGGACCAATAGGCATCCACGCGTCAGCGTTTATGTGGCTGTGGTTTTTTTTTGAAGGGGGGGGGTTTGGGGGGTTTTGGGGGGTTAATTTAGGTGTTTCATATATTGTGCTATAGCTAGCTAATTAATAGAGAGAAGTGTCCTCTCTTTTGTCCGTGCTTGGTCGACGCTACGTACCATACATACATACGCATAGAGAGGACTAGCTAGACACGCTAGCTAGCTAGTAAGCAAACAGAAGATCGTCATGAACATATATGCATACAGAGAGAAGTGATATCGACCACCTCTCCTTCTCCGAGAGATTGGTCGAACAAACAAGTTCTTGTATATCTATCCGACACTACCGGCTAGATATATACAATAATTATCTTTTACAAATATATAATCTCCTAAAATACGAACGCGTGGTCCACATAGTATTCTCCGTCTTCAGCGATCACGTGGTCAAGAAAGAATGCCGCCAATTCCTCTTGAATTGCTCGCATGCGATCTGGTGCTAGGAGTTCATCCCGCATCCGAAACATCTAATTTTAAGAAGGGGGTCAATACATACATATATATATATATATATATATATGAATGAATGAAACTAAACACAAATGATGGTAATAAAATAAAATTGTGAATATTGTTATTTACGCACTTCATATTGTTTGTCGGAGTAGCCCCGCTCACAGGTCGTGTGGCGGATGGACTCGCAAATGTAGTATCCACAGAAATCATTCCCTTGTTCCTGCCACATCCACTTTACAAGAAATAGAGGTCAATCAAACTGATAATTAGAAAGCATGCTAAATGGTATTGATGAAACTAGCGCTTGAATCACTAGGAGATGCCTGGAATATGCTACTATATAGTACTTACTTTCGGGTGCCTAAATTGCAGCTTCTTCGGTAGTCCCGGTGCTTTCTTGGTGAATTTTCTCCAAGCCCTGCCATACAAAGAAAACAATTACTTGATATCAGAAATGAACAAAGTTGCTGATATGGTGGATAATGATCGATTTAACTTACTTCTCGAGCATTTCAGTCATGTCCGCATACTCCTTGGGATCTTTTCGCTTGGAGTCTAAGACAGTTACTACTCCCTTCTCAAGCTTAATCTCTAGGAGAATATAGTGGTAGCTGCGCACACATGCATAACTCATCAATATTACATTACTATAACCTGGACTAATAAGGAAATCGAATATGCCACAAGACAGTAACACTCACTTGAAGTTGTAAGGAAAGAGTATTATATCTTTGTGTTCATTTATTTCCAACGATCGTAGCAAGTTGGCCTCGGTTTCTTGGGCACGATATTGAACCTCAGTTGCATCTATGAGATACGTGTTAATGAACCCAATATCTCCCACTTGTCTTTTCTTCAATTCGGCGATCTTCAATCTGCATAATATAGTGAGGATAATTATAAATACATGCAAATGAAAGGGCTGAGTTATATAGAGAGACTTAATGACGGAAGTAGTACTACTTACAGACAGTAGGAGGTGACCGTTGCTTTATCGATGGCCAATTGATTGAAAAACTGATAGAACTCCTCAAATGGAATAGGCAACAGTTCAATTCCAAGGAGGTCATGCTCCTTTTTAACTCTCATATACAAAGTATTCCTCCCCTCAGACCTTCGACCCTTGACCCCTTAACGACCCTCGACCCTCTACCCTAGTTCCCGACCCTCGACCCCTCGGCGATCCTCGACACCCTCGTTATATCGACAACGACGCAACATACATATACATGGGAAAATAATGTTATCGGGGAGGGGGTATCGGTACCCCCCCCCCTCGTGTCAAAGTTTCTTCTTTCTCCTCTATTCCTTTCTTTCTTCTTCTCCTCTTCTTTTCTTCTTATCCCTCGAGAAAGGAAAATAAGGAAAAGGAAGAAAAGAGGAAGAAGGAAGAAGGAAGAAGAAGAAGAAAAAAAAGAAGAAAAAAAAGAGGAGAAGAAGAAAAGAATAGAGGAGAAGAAGAAAAAATAGAAATTTTTTCTATTTTTTCTTCTTCTCCTCTATTCTTTTCTTCTTCTCCTCTTCTTTTTCTTCTTTTTTCTTCTTCTTATTTATTTCTCCTCTTCTTCCTATCCCCTCTTCTTCTCCTTTCTTCCTCTTCTTTTTTCCTTTTTCCTCTCATTCTTTTTCTTCTTCTTGTATTGCTTGTTTTTTTTAAATAATGTTCAAATAAAAATCTATGAGCATAAAACATATATACACACAGAGAACATATATACATTTTTATAAAAATGCAAAAAAAAATCTTTGCATATGACCATACATACATTTTTCTTTGCATATGCTTTGCATATAAACATACATACATATGAACATACATACATACATATAAACATAACATACATACACAAAAAATTCTAAAAATCTGCCTAAAAAAATCTAAAAATCTGCCTAAAAAAATTATATGAAAAAAAGCATACATCATCCATCCATCCATATAATGAACATATACATCATCCTTCCATCCATATAATCAACATATGCATATGAAAAAAAATTATATGAAAAAAAATTATATGAAGAGGATCGAGGGGACAGGGAGGAAAGGGGGTTGCCGGAGCCGGACCGAACGGGGAGGAGGGGCGGCGTCGAGGC